AAAACACTTGCTTTATTTCCTGATTATATGTTACTTATATTAAATGGACCAAAAACATATAAATATAATTTAATACTGTCTGTAATGTCAAATATATAAAAGTCAATGGTATTCAATTCCGAATATAACATTCATTGTCTGTAAGTGTGTAATGTCATTATTTAAACAGATGGTTACGTAATGAATGTTACAAAAAATGGTTTGAATTTCAATGTTCCTACACGTACAAAATGGACAGAAATATATTCATATGTGTTTGAAATTCGTTTCACGTCCCTTAATTTATTTAATAACAAAATCGTTTGTGCCTTTCAAGTTATTTCCCGCTCAGTTAAAAATGTTATCCATAAGGAATTTAATGAGTATTTTTACTAAAAGGTATTTTATTCAAATTTATTATGTAACTCTTGTCAATAAAGTCAGTTATAAATCATTAATTAAAAATATTAATTAAGAACTATTATAGTAAGGCCTTATCCACCTGTATGCAGAATTATTTGAACGTGTAGTTCACGTTCAAATAATTCTGAGATGACAAATTCCATATTAATATTCAAACAAAGACATGACAAAGGATGCAATGTTTAATATTTCAATATTCTTTTCCATATATGCAATCATGTATAATGGTGTGAGTAAAAATTCAGACATTTGTAATACCTATTAAATTAATTCAAATTTTGAATCACATAAGTATTTTTAAATCTTAGGCTTTTAACACGACATATCTCTTTGTGTTTTCGGTTTCATCCTATACAAAGTAAAATCAGCGACGAAGTATAACACTATTTTTAAAATTGCATAGAAAGTAAACGATATTGTGATCGTGTACCCAGATTATCGAAATGAGGTTTTGTTATTGAACTAAAAGGATTTCTTTTTCATTGTACTTAAGTAGCAAATTGAAACACTGAATTTAAACCAACTTCAAAAAAGAAGGTAAGCTAAATTCGTCAGTATATTTTTTATGTAAGTTTAGCGAGAAGTTTTAACTTTTAACCACCTTGTCCGATTTCAATGATTCTTTTGTTTCTAGTTAAAGGTATTTATTTCAGGCGAGGTCTTATACAGATTTAAGATCCATGACAAAACCTTTAAACTCGATTTGCAAAGAAACCTGCAGAACGTATGAGCGAATAATTTTTTACCACATCTACCGATTTCGATTATTATAAGTATTCTTTTTATTTCATTGAAATCGATTTTTACGTTTTAGAAGTACATGTAACTCGAAAACTTATTAAAAATATATAAGAACCAGGTAAGACCATAATACCTACTTACTTACTTACTTAATATCAATGAGGAAATAAAAAAAATGAATAAAGACCGCTGTCAATGTCATCCATTTTTTATTTCTTTTGCTCTTTCCTTTGTCTTCCTTTGACTCGATAAGAACAAAAAACAAAAACAAAACCGTGTAAAAACACTTTACAACATTGGTTACCAATTTACGAAATATATTTTTCGCTTTCCCAAGTGATTCAATGATATATTAAATAACCTTATTTGTTCCAACCACGCTTCAAGTTTAACATTATAGTAGGTATCGCTCGAAGTACGGTGACCATCTGCGGTACGATAATTTAAGGACTTCTTCAAAGAATAAAGTTGTGTTGATAGATCCAGAAGACTTTCAGTACCTACAATACGATTGCGGAAATAGATGAGACTTTAATATCAGATATTTTCAAATAAGATAAAGTGTAGCGATAAGCATTTAAAATTTTGATTCATAAATATGTTATTGATGTACACTACATGTAAAATAATTTAATCGTTTATTTTCTCTTTTTATGGTATTGTAGGTTAAGCAAATTTATCTGTATTAATAATCAAGCAGCGTGACGATTAAATCAATGTTTCTTAGCAATCTTTTGAAATTGCCTGGCATTGACTCGCCAAATTTTTGCAAGTTTTTGTTGAGACATTTATCCATAAAGAGGCTAATAAATAAGATATAGCAAGAACTACGTAAGGAAAGTACATATGAAGTATTAAATTTATATCTTCTTTAGTCGATCCGTCTACCAAGCGTGGCGATTATGACTGACGGCCCTATGTTTACCGTTAGTATTTTATAGACTGTTATTATCATCATCATTATCGTCATCACAGCCCTTCACAGGTCCACTGCTGAACATGAGCACAGTCTTGAGGAGATAAGACCGCAAACTGTTTATATGCCACATTAAATTTTTAATAATCATACAAAAACCATTAAGAATAATATGTTATATTGTGCAAAACATTTATTCATAATATTTGTATAGTATTTTGTTTAAAATACATGGTAAACATAATATTAAAATTAATTACTGTGCAATAAGTCTCCATATTAAAAAAGCAATATGGCGACCTTAGTTCTACGTCGGAGCGCTTTTTGTGGAAATCTAGTGCTGCTAAAAATAAATTAACTAAAACATTTGAGGTCACATTATAAGCAAAACTTCAAGATAATGAACTGGTTCGACGCGTTCCGTTTCGTTTGGTATGGGTTCCGGATGCGTTTGCCTAACATTTTTGTTTTATAATCTAACAATGTCTCCGTACTTACAGAACAAATATTCGTATATGTAACGGCAAAACTCTAGAAATTTATCATTTACTATACAACCTGTATCGTCTCGAAGATTTCGTAACCTGCGAGGCTGCGACATAGATATAGGTACGTAAATTAAACGGGAGATGCTACTCAAAATGATAGAAATTGCGATTGCCAACCCGCCAGCCAAGTTAGGCAATAATGGCAAATATGTCCCCTATCAGGCACAATATAGTCGAGGCCTACATTCAGCAGTAGTTTTGGTAGGTTGTAATTAATTAATTAAAAATATAATTAACTAACGTGCCTTACTGAAGTATATTACTGAATGTACTTCGTGACAGGATATGTTTTATTTGGGTATTTTGTCTATGTCTACAATTTAATCAAAAATTTAATTTGCACAGGTGTTGATACAAAATCAACAACTATCGCCGTGAACACATAAAGAGAATAAGGACTAAGAAATATAATAAATTCATATTATTGTAATGATAATAATAATAAACATTTAAAATGATTACCTAGTTAATTACAACATCGTTTGAGCGATATTCGTTTCTTTTGTATCATGCCAATCATTATAGGTATTTAAATAAATATCACAAATGTATAAATATGTACAGCGTAAGCAACCGCCGCTATAGGGTTGCCATCACAACGATTTTCTTTTTAAAAATATTTTTCAAGGTAGTGGAAAAACGTTCACGTTTATTATTTACGCCCATAATTAAATTGAACAATTGTTAGAATTAAGAATAGAATACTATGTTATAATTTATTTTCCTTCTGTTTGTTTTTAATTGGTCTTTATTTGTTTTTAATTTTCTGCCTAGGAGTTCATCTGGGTATATATGTACCACCCTCTCATCTATTTCTGCCGCTAAATAGCAGCGGGTGCAACGCTGTAATACAGTATGAAGTGTGTGAGTCAGTTCAATTGCAAATTGTGAGGCATTCCATCTTAGTCCTCTCCTCAGAGGTGAGAACGGATCTGTAGCCTCGTTTCTTCGGAGGTTGCATTGGCCACTCTCTTTAGGTTATCTTTTAGGTCTCATCTTTAGGTTATATAATAATTTTATAAAAAAGATATCGCTATATAATTGGCTATGGGATAATTGAGAATTTGTGTTATTTTTTAATAAGGATGTCGTCGTAGTACGCGATACTAATAAATCGATATATTGTCATCTATACATGGATTTCCGTTTTCAAGATTTCTATATCTATATTTATCTATGAAGTTGAATGAAAAAAAAGTAAAAGTCTTCGATAAAAACGGTTGATCCTTCGACTAAATAAGTGAAAAATTTCCATTATTATACTATGAAACGACACACTTCTTACAGTACTTCAGCGCACTGCGCAACTTTTTATTTTTTTGATTTAAACTGTCAAAAAAAACACTGTCAACTAGCATGTACTTTTATTTTAAGAATTAACTATACTGATGATTCTGGGAAGGTGGATTCTCGACATCAATTTCTTTTTTAATAAATATTATTGTTATTAAATACTTGACGCATACAATATATTTCCGTTGGAATTTTAGCGTTATCCGATTTCAAAGAAAGCAATTAAATAGGCGCTAGTTGGAATTATTCTACGCTAATAATATTTAATTGCTATTTCGTTAAACTTATGTATTTGTGTACATTTAAATTAATGAATTTAACACAATTGTTTTTAAGAAATAATGACGTTGTTCCAAAAATAGCAACGAAATTTATTAATTATTTTATTAATAATCAAACGCATGAATAGCAGCCCTAAGGTATGTGTGAGCGGGTAAGAAACATTGAGCACACAGACGCGGGCCAACCGTATTCAGAGATGGCAGTGTTCCTGTCAAAGAGAACGCTCCCCGTGCGCGTGTTTTGACTTATTTTCGTCAAACGTACGCCATATTGTTTTATTGTGTTCAATAATCAGCTTTTCACTTCAGAAATTTCACTTATTTGAAATCTCTCAATAACACGGTAGAGCGCGTCAATGATTGCGCCATAGCATTGTGATTAAAAAAAATATTCTCAATTACGTAGTGTTTATGTTCTCTGGTAATTATACCGAAGGTTTTACAATTTTTTTATCTGTGAATTAGAAAAAAAGATATTGTTTTTTGTTATGTTTTACATATTTGTTAAAATATAAGGCCTTATATATTTTGTGTGGTGATCGATAAAAGTTGAAAGTTTAAAAATTTCTAAAACAAAAATAAATAAATCCTTATATAATTTTAATTAACATAAATTGCGATATGAGAAGTGTCTAAAAATACGACGTTGAAAAATAACTGTTTCTGTACCGCGTTGTTTAAAATTAGTGCAATGGCTACGCTGAAAGTTAAAATAAGAATGCATAAAAATTAACAATTACATCGTCCGAAATGTAAGCGATTAGTGGTTTTGTGAAGTGTATACGTGGATATTTCTTTGTCTTTTGGATTACATTGGATATGGAGAAACCGTCATATAAGGTGTGTATGTACCTATTACATACCCATATTATGTATGTAAAGTTTTGTATATAAGCCAGTGAATAAAATTACTTCTTATATTAAGAAATATAACCCATAAGAAGATTTTATTTGCTTTTGACCACTATAGCTCGAACACGTAAAAATAAATTTAAAGAATTGTACATCAATTTAAAATGCATTTTTGATGACGTCATTAATTGCCATTACTATCTCTTACTATGGAATAATTTCAGTTATAATTAATTATAAATGATCAATTGTTGTATTAATTATATACCTAAGTAAAAAAAAGTGCGTTATTAAAACGAAAAAAATTGATATTGATATTAGCGCTCCAACCCTGCCGCTGTGCGCCATATCAGTAAGTGCTAGTGATGGGCGGACAAGGCCCTCAAGTTGATTTTATCGATCTTTATTTTTTTTAAATTAAGCTAAGGTCGAATTCTGTGGTTACATTTTAATTTACTATTGATTTTAGTATAATCATACAAGTGTGTTCACATAATGTCACGTAATGTTGTAACATATGTTTTTTTTTATAAGAGTGAGAATAAAATTTACGAAACGAAGGCATTTGTCGCTCTCAAACTCATTCACGCACGCACTCGCACACACACGCACGCTCGCACTCCTGCATACACGTATGTATGCACATTTATGATCCAAGTTATTAAGCGCGGAAACCACTACGGGTTCATAAGTAAGGTCGTGACGAAAGAGTAAATTAACATTTGGATTAAAAATAATCTTAAAACGTCACAAAACTAAAAATTTTGCTTTATTAATTGATAGTTAATTTTCAGGGAGAGTAGCTTAATAGTTTGTGGATTTGAATCCACTAATCGAGTACTGTCACTCCTAGCACAAGCATTTGGTTGATTAATATACTGCTAGTATTCTTAAAAAAATAACAGGTTTATTGGCATACTCAGTCGTAGTTTAAACTCCTCTCAAACCAAGATTTGATATTTAACATTATTTGAGACGTGTGTCTTAACTTTTGTGTGTGTGGTTTGTATTGTATTCAATTATTAAGGATTTTTCGCAATTTTATTTTTACGTAATATCAATTGGGCTTAAAAATATTTTATGACAAGTGAATATTTTTGAATAATCACAAATATTGTCCGTGATCGGAATGACGAGGATCACCGGCAAGCTCGTAACTTATTTCTTAACATTAACACACAATATTTTGCTTTTTTACTCATTGGTTTTTGAATGGGGTTAATTATATATGTTATGTTTTTATTCTCTATAGGATCTACGTAATTGATTAATTAAATATTCAGTATAATGTGTTCAATGTATTAACGTTATAGTAACAGGTGAACTGCGATTAAAAGTTTATTTGATGCCATGCTTTTGAGTATGATTAAACGGTGTAGTTTTTATTTAATGGTATTGTAAAGAAAAAGACGATATGCTTCATTATATATCAGCTCAGGATCAGAATGTTTTGGTATGCGATTGCCTTTGTTTTCTTATTTTGAGGAAAAGTCGACATATTTATTTTAATCAGCTTAAGAATATGCCGTTCTTCTTAAAATTCCACATTATAAAATAGAACAAGGTAAATTAGAATATTGTAATCGTAATATCCTCACGAGCACCAATGAATTGAATTCTTGTAATTAGAAGTTATATGAAGAAATACAACAAAATATATGGAGGAGGCTTGTATTTAGCAGTGGCCTTTTCGATAGCCTGTAAAGAAATTCAAACTTCAGCGATTATGATGATAATAATGACGATGACCTTCTAAATAGGTTCTGGGCGGTAAAGTAAAACATTAAAAGAAAATTTGCATTCTGCATTGTCTGAAAATAACATCTGAACTCGGCCACCACGCATTGTCGCACTAAAGTGGTCTCGTTTCGACTTACTAAATGTGTACAGGCCTCTAAGAATTAATAAAAAAGCAACAAAGAAAATACAAAAATGCTTTTAATTTGACAAGAGCTATTTTTTCACAAACCGGTTTGATCAGTGTATCTGCTTATAACTTTTTAATCTGTCTCATCAGTGTTTCAACTGGAGTGAGTAAATTAAGACTTAATTACTTTTAGGTCAATATTAAAACGATATAAATAGGTAACAGTACCAATAAACTGTTTTATTGATATTAATGATCGATAAATTTACGTCACACGGACATCTCTATGAGTACTTCTGCCATTCGTCGGTATAATATGAGCAGTTTTACCATTTTTTTCAACCGGTGAATTTCATTCGGGACTCGATACAAACGGAAGGTACAGTTATTTTGTGTATATATTTGTTTTTAATTAGTTTGCCTAGCAACGCTGCGGTGTCCTTCACCGCCGATATTACTCGAGTTTATGAAATTTATCTTTATTTAAATGTAATTTAGATGTTGCTGCGCTGAGCCGCTTTTAATTTTAACCGACTTTAAAAAGGGAGGAGATTCCTTAATTCGAGTGTATGTTTTATTTTTTGCATGTATGTTACGCGATATTTTTGACGTGATAGAGCCATTCTGCAGTTATATTAGTAGTATAGTTGTAGCAACAATGGGTCGGCTCGCCCGGGGAAGGACCACGTTGTCACAGAATACCAGCGTAAAATAGTAGCTTAATGCGGCTGTGTTTCGTATGGTGAGTGTAGAGAACCGGAGCTCCAGTTCGACAGTTGGTTCTTCCCCAGTTGAGCCGACCTATTCGCGCTACAACTATTTAAGAGGATATAGGGGTTGGATTTAGAATCGTTTGGCAGGAATTTGGGGAGGTACCAAACCCTAAAAAAAGAAAATCCCATAAAACTAACCTCAGTCATAACTTTGGCAGGAATTTGGGGGAGTAAGGTGTTTTATTTGGTAGAGGTTTGGTCTCCGATTATAATAATACCACCCCCAAAATCAAAATCCTAACCTCATCCCAATTTGGGGGGTAAGGTGTTTTATTAAGGTTTGGTCCTCATTATAATAATACCACTCCATTAAAAGGTAATGCCAAGAAAATCCCATAAAACTAACCTCAAATCATAACTTTGGCAGGAATTTGGGGGAGTAAGGTGTTTTATTTGGTAGAGGTTTGGTCTCCGATTATATATACCACTCACGTTAAAAGGTAATGTACCGTTATCGAAAAAATAAATAAAAACTATTATAACCTTTACGTAAAGTATGAAAGTATGAAACATAGATTACTGACTATATACTAGAGAGTATGAAAAGTGATACATTTTTTATTATTAACTAAATTTACGGCTCTGGGTTCTAGACTTTCTGAAAAAAAATTATACGATATTACTGTGAAAGATGGATAGCATACAGAATTTTGTGTCTGTAGCGGGAGCAAAGGCAACCTGACTATAGATATCTGATCTGGTCGAATCTGTACTAAAATTAAATTAGCACGCCCCGAATCCAGGTAGACTTGTCTGCCCTACTCCTAAAGTGTTTTTGTAAAGCCGTAGGTGCGGAGGGAGAGCAGCCCCCGCCTGTCGTAGCAAATCGCAGGCACCTGTTCGAGCCGTAGTATGGTTATTATTGTATTATATATTATGTTTATAATTTAAATTAATTATAAAAGCTAATATTTTGGTGTTTTGTAGTGCAAGACGAGCGAAGCGAGCGGGATGGCACCCGACCGGACAGGTCTATTCGCTCGCTTCGCTCGCTCACTCACCCCCCCCCCTCTCAAAACGGTGCATTACCTCTTAAGGGATGTATTATTGAATCGGGGACCAAACCTCTACCAAATAAAACACCTTACTCCCCCAAATTCCTCCAACGACAAATTTCAAGAAGTAAATCAATCCCCCCCTTCCCCCGCGGGACACTGTAAGAAAGACACCAGTTTATCATACCTGCTTAACGCCAAGCCAGGCTTCTTATTTTATTATAACCCACCCCCCAGCACTAAGAGCAAATCTTTTTACAGTGAAAAATAAAAAAAAGTAAATAACATAAGCACTGCTTTATAGTAGTTCAGTTAGTATGCAAAGTTTCCTGATCTTATTCAAAGTATTTTATGAATAACAGCGGTTTATTGTTTATTTTGGCGGTAACTTTGGTTTTTTTTTTCTATCGAGAAAATTTTACGGAATCGTGTTTTCGTCTAACATAATCGTTAACATTAATCCTCAACTTTACCATATGTTTATTTTAAAATTAATGCTGCAATATTTTCGGCATAACGGAGGATCTTGCTAAGCCATTTGAGGTTATTTTTCCCCTTAATATATGTAGCTGCACCATGATTCTACCACGTGTCTAAGTGTAAGACAACGCAACAGCGTTTGTCTTTTTATTAGTTCACTAGCTTTTCCTACCGTGACTTCGTTCGCGTGGAACACAACTTTTTTTACACTATTTTTTTCAAAATCAGTTGGGAGATTAGCCGAAAAAAACAGACAGACAAATATTTTAAAAATGTGTTTTTTTTAATACATTCCCAATTAGCTAAGAAAAGATGAAGCTGTAAGAGTCGCATAGACTAACATAACTTCTAATAATAGTTATAAGTACCGTATATACTTTTATATGCATTTAATAAAAAAAAAATAGTAAAAAGCTGTTATTTTGAAAATACAAATAGATACTTCATTTTTATTTATTGGTATAGATTATTTAGTACTTCTATTTAGGAACCAGGCTAGGTAGGCTTTTACACTAAAATCCTAACGAGTTGAAAGTTTTCTGCATATAGTATATATAGGGATTATGTTAACATATTATAACCCTTGGGAATAATAATAAAAATAGAATCATTAAAATCGGTTCATAAATTATATTGACCATTATATCGCAAAAGAACACAGAAGCATTGTAAACCTCCCTTTTTTAAAGTCGGCTAAAAAGAGACATCGGCTTGTAATCTATATCAATCTATATCAAAATATAATTGAACTTTCTGTCTGTAATATTCAAATAGGTAACTGCCCTATATTGAGCTCAGGGGGTTATATGTATGCCATTAAGAGAAACCATATTTAATTTTTTGTCTATTTATTTGCTCGGGCTAACTTGAAGG